ATAAAAATCGTGCACAAGTTCTCTTGAGAACCCAGTGCTATTTTTTAATTCATAAAAATGCACGGTGAATTTTTTATTCTCTTCTTTATAGGCTTCTAGTATCTTGTTTGACATGTAGCTGTTTCAGGAAAGCTTTTTTCTTTTCCTTCACCACTGTTCAGAACCATGGAGTTTTTCGCTTTGGGAGACTTGCTTTTATTTATCTTTTTTTCGCCCAGAGCTTCTTTAGCTGAGTCTAGACTTCGTCAATAAAATACAGCGCTTACTTGCAACTCAAAGATATACATACAGGCACATGGAAATCTCCAAATGGAAAAGTAATCGACTAAATCGACCATACACTTATTAAAAAGTACGAAGAAAAGTGTTTTACTAACATCAGAGAAAGCCGGACGTTAATTCTGACCTTTTTATGGTAGGAGCAAGAATAAAACAAATCATACAAATTCTGAATAATTTAAACACTGAAAAATTAAGAATGAATAGGGCTACAAAATTAATGACAAAAAATGCAAAAATAAATTACAAAGAGGGGAATCCGGAACAAATGTGGTAACGAATTCAGAGAGCGTGGTAAAATCAGCGAAAACAATATAGAAGAAATTTAAATAGGAAGAAAACATGATACGATGACTGATATAGAAAAGAATTAAAGGAGCAAGTAAATTATCACTAAGAATGCTGAAATTAATATCAAAATATGCTGAAAATAAATACACTGGACAACGAAAAAAAAACTAAAAAATATTGAGAAAAGAAATTACAAACTACAAAATTGCATTTTTATAAAGATATGAGAAAACTAAATCAGGTGGAAAAATTAAAAGAAATAATATTGGGTTAAACTTCTATTTATGAGAGCCTATAAAATGGAGAAATTCTAATAAATGAAAAACACATTTTAAACAGATGAAAAAGATTTCTTGAATGGACAAGAAAATATGTTAGTAAACTTAGATCATGAGGAAGAATGCCCACGTAAACAGTCAAACGTCAAACGCAAATTATATCGATGAGATGCCGCCCTTACGGGTTAGGATAAAAATATTACACTTAGAGCCTAAAAAATAAAAAAGACTACAGTAAGCAACCAAATAACATCTGGGATATTCATATATGGAGAAAATCACATGCATGAAAAAATGCAGATATTAATCGAAAAATATGGAATGGAGCGCAATTACCTATGAACGACAAAGAATGTCGGAAGCAATTTGTCCCATTTACAAAAAAGCAGACAATGCTTTTATAAAAATTACAGGGATATAGCATTGCTAAATGTCGCATACACAAAACTGGACACATATATGAACATACTAAAAATAAGAATGGAAGATATAATTGTTGAATATCAGGCGGGTTTTAGACAAGGAAGAAACATAACAGAAGACTTTTTGCTGAAATAAATACTAGAGGAGAGCTATTAATACAAAAAAGAAACCATATTATTTGTAGAGCAAATAAGCATTTTAAAGAGTAAAAAAGAAGAAAATGTATAATTCACTTGAAGAACTAGAGATAAGCGGAAAAATTATTGGAACGATACAACTAACATTACGAAGAGCAGAAAACCAAGTAAAAGTATCTATACAATGAAATTAAAAATTCCTAGTAAATGAAGAAGTAAGGCAAGGGAACCCACTGTCACCGATTCTTTTCAGTCTCCTGAAAAGCGTCCTGCGAGAAGCCAATGCAAATAACACAGAAATTATATATCATACGAAGAATCAATGTTGATAGGTGAAATATGCAATACCAGCGCATAGTAAAGTATTTAACAGTACAAATAAATACATATTGATTTGAGGAAATTGAGAGATCTGAATAACTAGAAACAATTATAACATAAAATCCAAACATAGAAGAAGAAATGTAAAATAGGCTAATGAAAGCGAGTTTATGCATTAAACAGCTTACTGATGAATAAAAGCATATTATGAGGTACCAAATTTAAAAAATACAGAACGATTATTAGGTCTATAATAACTTATAGTGCATTAGATATAATGACATTAAATAAAAAACAACAAGAAATGGTGCAGAAAAAGGATCGAAACGTGAGAAGGAAAATATTTTGAGAAAAATCAAGAATAGCGTTTGGATTAGAAGGGTAAATAAAGACATGGAAGAGTTAAATGAGAAGCCCAGCTAATCAGTAGTAATAGGAACAGAGTAACTAAGCTAGGACACATAGCTATAATAGAAGTAAGTATATAATATAGAGATAGACCCAAAGAGATTCAATGTCACACATTGGAGGACGGAAACTATAGACAAAAAAGGTTGGAGGAGAACGGTTAATTAATCCACATGCTCGACGCGGTAATTATCATTATTGTTCTTCGCCGCTGTCCTGTACATAACGTATATTTATTTATAGGACGTTTCGTATCAGCAGTTGAGAAGCGCCACACTAAGTGGTATTTTACATAAAAAGCTGGCCAAAATTGAAATTTTTAAACTAGGTAATTATAAGGTAACTAGGTAGTTATATGTGACGTCATGTGGCACCATCCTCACCTCAAATAGTTTTATAAGACGTTTTGGCTGCGTTTAGATGTGAGATTTTACTAATTTTTTTTGTAAAATTTGACGTTTTTTTATTTTTATAATTTAGGTAATTTTTGTGGAAGGAGCAGTTATGAATATAACAGAGGAAGGTAAGTAAGGTATAAGCAGGAAAGGATCCAGAAGACCCCAGCAGCTACAGACCTATTTCGCTATTGTGTCACTTTTTTAAACTATACGAGAGACAAGCACCTCATTCCACAACAAGGAGGATTCAGACCTGGCAAATCTTACACCGGTCAAGTCCTCGCATTAACAGAACACATGAAGAAAAACTTTGCAGAAAAACTTATAACAGGGGCTGCTTTTGTAGATATGACAGCAGCCTATGACACAGTAAGGCACAAAACATTGCTCCGTAAATTATACGACACTCTCAATGACCACCATCTGGGAAAGGTCGTATATTCCTTACTGCAAAATAGACGTTTTTAGCTTATGCTGGAGGGTAAAGTAAGTAGGTGGAGAGTTCATAAAAACGGCCTCCCACAGGGAAGTGTTTTAGCACCAATGCTCTTCAATATATACACAAACTACCAACCTACTCCGACCGAAACCAAGCACTTCCTCTATTCTGACGATCTTGCAATATGTGCTCAAGGAAATAGTTTTGAAGAAGTGGAGGAGAAACTCGAAACTGCCTTAAAAACAATGACAGCCTACTACCTGCAGAATTCTCTGAGACCCAATCCCTCTAAAACCCAAGTCTGCGCTTTCCACCTTCGCACAAAGGAAGCCAAGCCAAAACTCCAAATTGTGTGGAATGTTAATGCATTAGAACACACAAACCAACCTATATATCTTGGAGTAACTCTGGACCGGTCCCTCACCTACAGACAATATTGCATAAAAACAAGAGGGAAAGTAACAACTAGGAACAGCATACTCAGAAAGCTAACGGGAAGTAAATGGGGCGCACGTCCTGGCGTTTTAAGAACAACGGCACAGGCACTGTGTTTCTCAACTGCTGAATATGCGTGCCCCGTTTGGAGCAGATCTGCCCACACCAAACAAGTTGACACTGCGCTAAATGAGACATGCAGGATAGTAACGGGGTGCATGAAACCAACGCCACTTTCAAATCTATATAGAGCAGCGGGTTTTGCAGAACCCTCAACACGCAGAGACGCTGCAGAACACATAGAGAAAATTAAACAGATCGCGGACGATCGGCATGCCCTATATAAAGCTCGAACACCACGAAAGCGACTAAAATCTAGGAAAAGCTTCCTTGGAAAAGTGCAGGATGAACTGCCTGATTATTTTCCACCTCCCCAGGTTCAATGGACTGGCCAGACCCTAGACTTTAAAACGTGGAAAACCTTGAATAGGATAAGAACGGGGGTTGCTACAGTAAAATCAAACATGGCAAAATGGGGAAAAATAGACCAAGATGATGTGAACTGTGACTGTGGAGAAATACAGAGTATGGAACATCTTCTTACATGCAGAAACTGTCCTCATCGATGTACCCTTGAAGATTTGTGGCTCGCCAACAAAGATGGAACCGACGTAGCCCGATGCTGGGCCGAAATTTTATGAATGACATGTCCGGACACGATAAAGTAAAGTAAGAAGGTAAGTCATCAATATTGAATCATTTTTTAAAATTTGACGTAGCCCGATGCTGGGCCGAAATTTTATGAATGACATGTCCGGACACGATAAAGTAAAGTAAAGTAAGAAGGTAAGTCATCAATATTGAACCATTTTTTAAAATTTATTCTTCTAGAACTTCAATCTAAATCAATAAAATGTTTTGTATAGTTTTCAATATAAACGAATGATTTTAGTTACCCTCTACTCATCTTTTAAAGCTCCGGAGGGATTAGGAAATGCTGAAAGGTTTTAATCCCAATGAAATAAAAATCCAAATCTGCAACCTCCACGTGGTACAAGTTGGTAAGTGATAGGGCACTCTTTTGTCCTGGAGTTGAGAAATCGACTCCAAGGCGGATGAACCAAAGAAGTGGTCAACGGCAGAACGATGTAGAAGGCTACGAGAAACCACTACATTAAATATCTTTAAATAGATATATCTTGTCAATTATCATGGCTATTATAAATGACAATTTCACAACTACTAATCATGGACATCGGATACCAAGATCCGGCAGGGGAGGCAATTCTCAGTTAGACCGCGGGGCCTCCCAGGTCACCAACATGCGAAAACCCCGCGTCAGGCACAAAAATATAGACGAACTGCAGATAGGTACCTGGAATGTGAAGTCTATATATGAAGCAGGGAAGATCCACACATAACTTTGAACTCTATAGACTTTTTGGTGATGCAGATATTGTGAAGACCATCAAAATAAACCGTCTAAGGTGGGTGGGCCACGTTATGCGTGGCTCTTTTGGTACAAGAGGAAACATAAGGTAAAATAAACAAATTTAAATAAGCGAATAATTTATTTGAGTTTTTTTTTATTGAAATAAATTAAAATGCATATAAATTCTTAATATAATGAAAATTTACTAATAAACCGTGAAATCTAAGATGATAATGATTCTGACGTTTTATAGAATTAATAAGTAGCAAAGTTCTAAAAGTACAATACTGTTGACGATATAAAATATTAAATAAATACGGTATATTAGTGTGTAATCATTAAAGTATTTACAAAATTTGTACAAAAATTGCATTTCTTTTAATAGCACAATAATCTTTCAGACTGTAATTATTTCAGGATGTACTTAGAATAATGCTGGTGTAAAAATACTTTAATGATTTATACAGGCAAAATTTTAGTCTTATATAAAAAATAAGTTCACAGTTGACCTAATCCTTGTTTTGGTTTTGAGAAGATTATTACGCTTGAGTGGCTAGGTATTCTTGATACCTCTTTTCTTGAGCTTGGTACAACTTTTGTAATTTCTTTACCTGGCCTTTGCTAATTTCTTTGCCTTCGGTGTCATGCGTTGGAAATCCCTTAAATAAATAAATAAAAATAAATGTTTTTTGTAACAAATTATGACATAAAATACAAAATTAACTTTTAATTAAAAAATCATTTATAAAAAGGTCCATTTATTTAAAAGAACCCTTTCGGGCTACATCACAGAACGTTTTCGGAATGTATAATGACAAATAATGACAAATTTAGTGTTCGCAAAAAAACGTCAGAAAAGGCGACGCCGATTTCAAAGAAACACATGTGGACAAATACCTTGAGCAAGTGCATAAGATACACCGTAGAATAGGTTTGGTTGGGCTGCATTTGAAAAATTATGGGAGAAATTTAAGAGTAACATACTCATATGTCTGAAAATATGAACAATGCGTGTTACCAATAATGACATACGGAGCGGAGACATTAAAATTACCAAAAAAGACAGCGGAAATTTTAAGAGCAGCCCAGACAGCCATACAGTCAGCTTGTAATCACTAAAAGAGACAGAATACCCAATAACACCATCAGACAAAGAGGTCCACCACCGTTATGTTGGAGCGACAACGTAAAAGGAACAGGGAAGTGGATGCTCACAGCCTAGAATAGACAAACATCGAGGAGCTTGAAAGAGGCCTATTTTCAACAGTGTAAAGCCGTCTTTCAACGGCTACATGATGATGATGGTACCAATATATCTAAAAAGGAAAATGTTTTATTTAACAATGTACTCCCAGTATTGAGTTATGGCGGATAAACTTACACCTACTAAAAAATCTGTGAAAAATATCACGAGTTACAACTAACTTGGATATTAGAAAATTACAAAACTATTAGTTTATTACTTACATTTTCATCAAACTTTGAGTATTTGTCAGTTTCATGTCTGAACATTTCAGTGGGCGGTATCTTTTTCTGAGATTCTTTCGCTGCTGCGGCAGCTGCTAATTCTGCTTTCTTTCTCTCCTTTTCGGCCAGTTTTTCTTGTTCTGCCTTCTTCTTCGCTTCCCTTTCTTTCAAAAGAGTTTCTTTGTCAACTAGTTTTACTGCGCTTGGCTCACCTATGGAAAAATGAGAAATTAAATATGATATTAAATGATTAAAAAAATTAAATCGATAAATATGATATAATGAGAAATTAAATATAATTGAATAACGAATAGAGCCTTTTATTGTACATTTTTTTAGGAATCAGTCACACAAATCTTTGGACTATGTTAACCTCTAATTCAGCATGTTCTTAAATACTCGTTGCCTCAATTGTTCTTCGTTATGCGCTCTCCCTCAGTTGATTTTTCTACATAAAAACAAGCAAAATTACTTGATATTTCTAGCTTGAGTCACATTTGGGAGATTATTGAGCTTCGATACGTAATATGTTGCTTTCATCTAGCCAGATTTTTGTGATTTCCGACTGATGACAAGAAGCCAAGTCTATTGATAACATCCAATATAATTTTTACAGGCATTTTTTTCAGTGTAGGTTTTAGCCCCGATTGCTGAACCTCTGAGATATGCTACACAAAAACAACGATCTCCGAAATGGCAAATAAACAGTTATTCCGAGCAGTTTTCTATAGCCGATACAGATAGTTGGCATAGGAGATAGGAAATCAAATATTATGAATATAACAAAAATTCAACACAATATTGTAGTTACCTTCTCTATCCTCTAATCTAACTCCAACATTAGGCAAAATTTCATCTCTTAAATGGTCGCATTCGTCGAGAATATCTGTGGCTTTTAAGGTTCTTGCACTTGTCCTGATTTTGTCCCTAAATTCAGCTAAAATACTTAAGTAAGGCCTGATCACACATTCAACCTGAAACAAAAAATTTACACATATATATATATATATATATATATATATATATATATATATATATATATATCGTTTACTACGTTTTTACCAAATTAAGTTGTGGAAAATAAGCATAAAATAACCATCTTTCTATTTAGGTTATATCATCCATACCATCATTATATCATCGACATATTATGTCGATTATTAAACTATTTAATCTATCAAGCTTTTTTAATCTATCATAGTTTATTAATCTATCATAGTTTATTAAACTATCAAGCTATTAAACAACGAAAAGTTTCCTATGAGGGACATATAATGAGAGGTCATATGTATGAGTTCTTGAAATTGATTTTAATATACAAAGTTCAAGGATGAAGCGGTCCAGGAAGAAAATAACATTCGTGACTGCGAGATACAAGAGTTTGGTGTGGAATTCATAATGCAAGAGAAGTTTTGACGCTGACCAGTGAAGGATAATTAAATAATGATGGCTCATGAATGACTACACGCTGGAAACATATGACACTTGAAGAAGAAGTTTCTTTTCTCTTAGAAACTTCATGAGAATATATATATATATATATATATATATATATATATATATATATATATATATATATATATATATTATATTACAAGTGATTATTGCGACAAGTGATTATCAATGTACAATGATATATATGGTGATATAACCTTCATCAATGAATAGAATAGAATAGAATATTCTTTATTAATCCCATCAGATCACATTGTGATATAGGACAAGTCATATAGTACATAAAGCATGATCAACAAGTTATATAGGACAATTACATAAAACAAAATCAATAAAATATAGATTAATATAAAAATAAAAAACAAAGATATGCAATAGAGCGTCTCTGAACCCGTCGGTCCTTATTCTCTGTAGTCTTTTATTAAGTCAAAATATTTATTTAGGTTGTAAACGCATAATTGGATCAAGCATGCTTTTAATTTATTTTTGAATTTTTGAATATTGTTTTCATTTCTTATATTAAGTGGCAAACAATTATAAAATTTAGATCCTGCAATATCAGGACTAGTTTCAAAGAGAGTTGTGGAGTGTTTACACACGCTTATCAACCTCCCGTGTCTTGTCGGGTAATTATGAAAGTCAGAGTTGAGGGTAAAATTTTGAAATTTAGTTTTGACGTGAATAATACACTTATAAATATATAAAGCATGAAAAGTCAACAGCCTGTGTTCAATAAAATATTTACGACATGATTGTCTATTATTAATATTCAATATCAATCTAAGAATTCTCTTTTGAGTTATAAAAACGCTAGAAGAGTTTCTAGAGTTTCCCCACAAGATAACATTATAGGCCATATATGAATAAACCAATGCATAATACACACTTATCAATTGATTGGTGTTAAATAGAGTTTTCAACTGAAGGATCGCATGGTAACCCTTATTCATTGTTTTGCAGACTTTAGTGACATTTTCATCCCATGTCATATTACTTTCTAGAATGCTACCAAGAAATAATGTATCACTAAAAGGTATTTCCTCAGAACTAACTGTGATTTTATAACCATGGGATGGCTTAAAGCGCGAGTAGAACTGCATACAAATAGTTTTCTTTGCATTTACCATTAACGAGTTCCTTTTACACCAGGTTGTAAATTCCTGTGCTACTAAGTTCATTTTTGATATGAGTTCGACTTCATTTGACTCGTCAACTACAATTGTTGAATCATCTGCATAAAGAACTATATGGTCTGCAGTTAAAAAATGTGTCAAATCATTGACATATAAAAGAAATATTAGGGGTCCCAATACGGAGCCAATGTGTGGCTTATTCTAATGTGTAATGCTGATGTTAGAAGTAAACGTAAATAAAAATCAAAGAAAGTAAGGAGGAACTTTTCTAGGCCTCTAAAAGGAGTAGGTGTAAAAATATAATAAATAGGACCAATAAAAGAACTACATATTCGAATTTTAAAACCCAAAAAAGAACCAAGAAGATCAAAGAGTATTTGTGAGGTGAGTTTTCAAAGAAATATGGCAGCAACCTTTTAGGGAACACAATCAGTAGTTTAGGGCACACGCCAATAAAAAGTCGACAATCTTGATTAATTTAGACCTCTTTAGATGTGGAAATGGATGTGGATTGGATTAGATGAAACGATTTGCAAAAACAGAGGTAGCAAGGCGGCATATGTCCCGCGGCAGGTGGTCTGCTTTGGTGAAGGCCTGGTCATCAAGTAATGCTTTGAATTCAGAGTATCATTATCGCCCAGCCCGCTGGATATAGGCTTCCCTCATTTTTATCTATTGTGCTCTATCTTGAGCACTTTTCATCTACTTTCGTGACGTTTTTTGAGATCGTCAGTCCTACGAGTAGGGGGTCTTCGTCTACTTCTTTTGTCTAACCTCGGCCTCCACTCAAGCAATCTCTTCGTCCACCTTTCATCACTGATACGGGCGATGTGTCCGGCCAAATTCCATTTCAGTGTGGCAATTCGGGAAATTACATCGGTATCTCCTGTTCTTCGTCTTAAGTCTTCATTTCTAACTCGGTCACGAATCGATATACTCAGGATTGACCTTTTATTTTCCTCTGAGGAGGAGTTCAGAGGAGGGGGAATTCAGAATATACCATAAAGAAAACAGTGCTATGCAGAATTGTTAGGTATTTTGAGGACGTTCTGGGCCAAGGTGTTCGGACTCTAAATCGTATTCCAAACGCATTTGTTGTTGATTTGGATGACTGTTGTAGGTTGAATGCCAGCGAACTTGTGTATGAGCGCAGACAGATACTGGTTCAATTTTCTACAGAGAGAATTTTCTTTCCTGTAGTTAGGACTCTGTTCATAGGTCTTCACTTAAATTTCGAATAAAGAGCACGGTATTCAATGTTGGGTCTTATGAAAGTTTTGTAGGTGTGAAGGAGGGTTTCTTTATTTGTGGTTTCGAATTTTACATTAAATGCTCCTAGGAGTCTCCTTCGTGTTTTAACTTTGTCTATGGTGGTAATCTCAGTGTCCCAGTGGATAATTCTTGTTAATTGGACTCAAAAGTAGGTCACTCATTATTTTCTTTACTTTCTCCATAGAGCGTCAGAGGAGATCGTTTTAGATTATTTGGAGAACGTCTGTTAATATTATAGCCTTGATTGTATTAGGATTGAGTTCTCCATCCAAATCATGAGAAAAAGAAAATTTCCATAAGGAATATCAAAAATAAAACTTAATACTGTTTTGTTGCTAAGAATGGAATTACAAGGTTATTACATTAATTAAAGTCAAAAGTTTACACATTATTTTATCTAAAAATGAATACTTACATTATTGGAAGTACTAGTAGAAGTTGGAAAACCTATCTCATCTTTTTCACTAATCGCACCAAATATTTTTAGAATTTTTGTTACATAAACTCCTACGTCGTGCAATAGTAAGGCGTTCGGAGGTTTCCGTTCCCTCATATAGATGTTACTTGCTGTTACGATATCCCTTAAAGCATTAATTGCGGATTTCGTATCAATATTATCTGAAATGAAAGAAATCTTTAGCATTAGTGCGAAATGTAAGCTGTTTTAGTCAACAAATATTTCAAAATTCTAGCCAATATCCAATACAGTTCATGGGGCATATGACAACATATTGTACTCGACATATTGTACTAAACTCTTAATTCAATCGAATTGTGAGTGATTAATTTTCTATGTACTAAACATTTAGTGGAAAACGACTAAATGCTGATTTATTTATCACCATACAAATGCACCAGTCTATTAACATTTTTGCCGCTAGCATGTTGAAATTAATAATCGAAGGGAAACTAAGACAAAGAATGATTAAGTACTATATTGGTCTGTACTTTTGTTACGAGCAGAAGTGTTGACACTAAAAATATCAAGTATAAACAGAATTGAGGCATTGGAAATGTGGATTCATAGACGGATACTGCAGATACCTTGGACAGCAAGAAAAACCAATGAAGAAGTACTAAGGAGGGTCAACAAGAATAGAGAATTGCTAAAAACACCGGAAAATGTCGTATCTGGGAATAGTGAGCGAAAATACATAAAAAGGTGAAGGAAGAAAACAGGTTTCTTGGTTAAAAAATATTCACGAATGGAAGATATCAAATACAGAGCAATTATTCCATGTTGCAAATTATTGCATTATTCCATGTTCGCCATGGTGATCGCCAACGTCGTGAAGAAGAAGAATCGAAGAGAAAATAGAAGGCAAGAGGGGACTGCTAAGACTCAAACATTTTTGGTTGAAAAATATAAGATATTGGATTGATTTGTACTTATATTCATTGTTTCCAGCTGCTTAAAACATTCATTACATCGCTGAGATTGTTGATAACCTTCAATAAAAGATGGTAGATAGAACCATAAGAAGAAGAAAACTACTAAGAACCTGCATATTCATCTGTAATGAAAATTCTTACAAAATTGTCCTTATCCTATGTACCTATCGTTTAAATAACTAAATCATTAAAATATCTTACCACATAGTGCATTATGAACTGCAGTTTTGGCTGCTATAAGCTTATTACTCAGTGTTTTTTCGTGTTCAGACCATTTGGTGAAAGTATCTACTGTTGTGTTTTTCAAGCAAATTGACATCGATGCATCCTTTACATTTAAAAAGAATTCCTGAAAATCAATTAAACAAAGATTAAATCATATACATACTAGAATTAAAACAATAAAAATGTTTAATATTCTAAAGCATATTCGAATCAATGACGAGTAAGACCAACCTTAACACCGAATTGAGCGATCGAAATCCATAACCGAACAACATAACGTACTTAGTGGAAGGTCCCTTATTAATACAATTTCCTCTCGAACTACGTCATAGTAAATTATTATTTCGGAATAAGGCGACGTGATATAACAGAGAAGAACTTTCTGAACGTAACTGTAAGAGATATAGAGAAATCTATTCGTTGTAAGTAAAAGCATAAATGAAACACTCCTTTGATTTTAACGTTACAGTGGTGTCACTGGCGGGATTATTTATGTAAATAATTTATAAATTATAAATAAAGTTAGGTCTTAAGGGATATTATATCACCTTGCCTTACTCCTTTTTGTATCGTAACTTCTTCTGTTAGTTTATGTAGCTGTATTATTAATATTGTTTTACTATAGAACTTTTTAATTGGATTGATATATCATTGATCTATTCTAGCATTTTGAAACGGCAGAAATTATTGGGTTTATTTCAATACTGTCACACGCCTTCTTAAAATCTACAAAGGCCAACCAAAAAGATTTGTCTTATTATACTCATTTGTCTTTTCTATTATTTATTTGACAGTGTGTAGGTGTTATGTTGTACTGTAATGCTTCCTGGATCCTGCCTGCTTTTTTGGTTGGAAAAGCTCAAATTTACTTTCCAATCTATTTATTATTATTCTCATAAAAAGCTTGTATGTTTGGGACACAAGACTTATCGGTCGGTAATTTTCCAGATATTCTGGATCTTCTTTTGTATATCAATAAATATTGCTCATCACCATTTGTCTGGGATATTAAGGTAAATCCTTAATATCCCTGCAGAGTTATTGTTTTTTAATTTTTTGGACTGCATAATAGATTTGCTCTATTTGGATGTTGGCTATTTCATTAGAGTTGAAGCCACTAAATATATGGGTAAAAATATTTAGCCACAAATTTAGTGGTTTCACACATGTAGACCTGGTAACTGCACTGATGATGGACTTTTAGTCCGAAAACGTTCTGTGATGTACCCAAAAGGGCATTTAATACAAAGGATCTTTTAAACAAAAGTTTTTATTATTCATTTTATACAGCCCAACTACAGTATTCGGTCAAATGTGCTGCTAAAACATCTTACTGTGAAACAGTTACAAGCACAAGTAGAGGAACTACAGGATGAATATTGCTGTAGTGCAAGATTAATAAAAGAAAGTCGTCATAGATAATGGGGAGAACCCAGCCAAATTCGAATTTTAATCAGCAGACATTCAGTCAATCATTACAAAAATTTATAAAACCCCTAGAAAGACCAATAAGAACTTCGTACGAAACTAATAAAGAAACGTATAGTAAAGCTGATGAAAAATTTCTGAAATGACCAATGGAAAATTGGCAGTTTTTCAAAGATCGGAAAAACTTTTAAAAATAATGACGAAAAGTTTTAGCTCAACAACTCTTTCACCTCTGACCATCCTGGATATCACCTCCTCCGCAGGACAACAACCACCGAAGCATACCACCAGTGAGCACAATGCAGTGACACATGCCGATATCAACAAAAACAATCCACGTCCTGAAGAGGTGTTCCACCTAAAATAGGACAACAAAATCATCAACAAAGAGACCCAACAAACAGAAAAGAACAACCAGACAACGATCGATTCACGGCTAGTCTGGTTTCGGCTCCCATATAGGGTCTCCTGTACCATGAGAGTTCGTTGTCGGGGCTCTGCTCCTGTTCTTCGAACTGAGCTATGTGGCTTGACATTTTCCACCTTTCAAAATGTGTTTTTATTTCATTTATCATGTGAAAAATACCAATATTCCACCCAAGATGGGACATACGCAGAGGAACTTCGAATGGACTGATCGAAGTCCCTCTGTAATGCACCGTGGGAATGGATAAGTGGTCGTAGTTTTCCAGACCCTTCCTTCCATTTGGTGATATTCTCTGGCGGAGAAAATTACCTAATCGAAGAAACTAGGACATAGTAACTCACCGCATATTCAGGAATAGTTCTCGTGATGATCCTACTAGTAGAACTTGACATAAATGCTTGGGACGATATGTATATAGTCTATTATTTGTAAAAGTATTAGTTGTTCGATCTAAGTAAACTAAAACCTATTATTTGAAAATAATACTACATAAAGCAAACTTACGTTGAAAAGTTTTTCATACTGAATTGCAGAATCCATGGTATTTTGGCTGTAGTCCAACGTATCCCTCCAACTGTGTAACAAAAACGCAAATCTTAATTGTCTAGAGGTGTATTTTGAGAGAGCATCTTGAATTGATACGAAATTCTTTAAGGACTTAGACATTTTGCAACCGGCTATTGTTAAGTGACCAGAATGGAGGAAGTAACTTACCCATTCTGAGTTTCCAAAGTATGCCTTAAACAAAGAATAATAAAAAATTATTATTAACAGTTATCTCCACTATCACTAACTAGGTTTCATATTTATTTGAAAATTATTACAATGTATGACGAAATTCTAGAATGGAATCCTGTTTAATATTATCGCACTATATATCTTTACTTTACTAGTATTCTAGAATTCCTCAAGAATGGAGGTCAAGCATCCTAATACCTGTCATCAAAAAGAGAGAAATTGGACCCGGAAAATTACGGAGTAATTAATTTATTAAAAACAACACTAAAATTAACAAATAACGTGATAACAAATAAATTGAATGAAATTATAACACTAGCAGAAGAACAACAAGGTTTTAGGTCGGGAAGATGTTATCCACTTACTGTATGCAAGAGAGATCCCCCTAGGAATAATAAAAACGATCGAAAATATCTACCAAAACAACACAATAAAAGTAGAAGTAGAAGAACTAACCGACCCTATTGAAGCTGGAAATGGGATAAGACAGGGAGATTCCCTGAGTCCTCTACTGTTCAACCTGATTATGGATGTAATAATAAAAAAAGTAAGAACTAAAAAAGGATACCAAATGGGAGAAAACCAACTTAAAATAATCTGCTATGCAGACGACGCAATACTACTCGCTCAAAGTGAAGATGATTTACAACGTATGCTGCATCAATTTAGATGTAAATTGGAGCTGGAAGGTCAGATAATAGAACAAGTGATGGAGTTTAAATATCTAGGCATCACATTATCTAGCTACGGAAAGCTCGAAACCGAAGTGGAAGATCAAGTGAATAGAGCAAATAGAGCCGCAGGCTGCCTAAATGAAACAATATGGAGAAATAAAAATATCGGGAAAGAAACGGAAGGCAGAATTTACAAAACAGTCATCAGACGAATAATGACATACGCGAAAGAAACAAGACCTGACACAGAGGGGACAAAAAGGATGTTAGAAACAGCAGAGATGAACACAGAGAAAAATTGATGGTAAGACACTATGGGACAGAGCTAGAAGTACAGATATACGACATAGATGCAAGGTGGAGAACATTAAAAACTGAGTAAAAAATAGAAACGTATAGTGGAACGATCATATAAGCCGAATGACAACAAATAGAGTAGTAAAGACGGCAAGAGACGGTTCCCCAATAGGAAGACGATCAGTAGGAAGACCATGAAAACGATGGAATGACAACTTACTGACGCCACATTAAAGGCGCCCACTCACCAAGAAGGAAGAATGCGCAATTAAGTCTCTGCATGTTTGCTGTAAGGTAAACCCGTATGCTCCACGCCGGCATACACCAGTACTTTTGCTTTCAGTTTAGAAGTACGTTAAAGTGAACATGACGTCAAAAAACGATCTTTTATTAATGGCAGTGGCGTGTGTTTGTATTAAAAGAAAACCAAGGTCGCAATGGACAAACTGTTGGTTACAAAAACGAGCTACGTACCCTCATGTCAGTTTACTGGACGAATTGCGACTGGATTCATCAGATTGGCATAATTACTTGAGAATGGATCAAGATACGTATTTTGAACTATTATCTTTAGTAACTCCTTTGATACAAAACAGGACACGCGAATGCGGCAGGCTATAACGACACATGAAAGGCTAACTGCAATATTAAGATTTTGAGCAACGGGAAGGAGCCTTGAGGATTTAAAATTTTCAACAATAATTTCAGCTCAGGCATTAGGTCGAATTATTCCGGAAACATATGATCCGTGATTCCGTGAAGCAATATATCGTGTATTACACAAGGAAGTAATGAAGGTAAGTTGATTTGCAATGTACATTTTTTTTTTTCATTAGAAAAAATAATCTTACCTATATAAAATTCGTTTTTATTGAGACTTTAAATAAAGACAAAGAACTGAAAACACAAAAACTGAAACTAGAATCGGTACAGATCACACTAAAAATATTAATATTTCAAAAAAAATATCTTTTACAATTTGCAGAAATCAGTATTATTAGAAAAATTCTTATAATATGTAGCAACGGAATTGGATTGTTGACCCATTGAACTCGATGTCTGAATATTGACTTGTTATTGACTTTCACATTGAGGTAATGCAGACACAAGTGGCATATTTACCGAAAGAATAGAATTTTCATTGAGCCTTCCTAGTTCTGCATTGTAAAGTATATCATAAACAACTTTTCTGCAAACATCCTTGTGTTGGTAGGGAATCTTCTCAATTTGCAGGCTATATTCTTTCCTATTCGATCACTGTATGCTTTATTTTTAATCTGCCATAAACAGGGATAACTTCTGTATAGCTCTATGAATTCCGTAATAAACTCTCTCGACATGCACCTTATATCACTCATGGTTTTTAATTAAGTGTTTGTTTTCTCATAAAATTATAAAATGCTTAATAATATGCAACATCCAACGAACAGTCGTACAGCACTGATTGAAAATGAAACATGCAGAGACTTGTTGCCCATACACTCTCATTCTTCCCCGCGCGATGATAATTGCACACGCTAAAAATCAAGACGATCCTGATTTTGAGAGGCTTGGTTGCGCATTCCACATTTTTCGCCATACACACACACTTTTAACTGTACCCGTACCATGCACATTCAATCCTTCGCGCTTCCTTCTGAGTGAGTGAGCGCCTTAAAAAACAGACAGTCATGTCTATATAAAAAGAAGAAGAAGAATAAGAAGACTTTACTAGTGTCATTTACATATTTGTGTGTTAACTATTTTTCTTTCACTGTAAAGTTATTTAAAACCTTGTTTTGTTTTAGGACAAATGATAAATATTTGTATATCTAAACCTCAATTGAATGCTTACCTCACTTTGTGCAATTTCATTGTCATGATGGGGAAATTTGAGATCTACTCCTCCAGTATGGATATCCATCGTTGCGCCAAAGATATCAGATGCCATAGCAGAGCATTCTATATGCCAACCGGGTCTACCGATACCCCAAGGCGAATCCCAGAACGGCTCTCCCGGCTTGCTCTTTTTCCACAAAGCAAAGTCATTCGGTGAGTGTTTTTCACTTCTTTGTTCTGCAGTAGTTAAATCACCTAAAACGATTATATGTGGTATTTACCCAGCTAATAACCAAACAATCATTAATATATTATATAGAAAGAATTCATTATTTTAATGTTGGATTGACAAGCAAATAAAAGGAATTCTTATATTTGTTATGAGTATACTACTTTTACAGTGAAAATATAGGTTTTATTATTATATTGAAATTTTCTATATCGAAATATCTAATAAGATTGTTATGATACCTATATCATACTTTATCTACCCTGTCATAATAATTTGTCTGAACCATTAAAAAATATTTTCTGAGAAATTAAGAAGTTATAAAAAGTATCTTCTGGATTAGTAATATAAATTTCAAGGCTCTTATACTAGTGTTGGTAAATTATTTTGTTGAGTAACCTGCAAATAAAATATGGATAATGCCTGCGATCGACAATATCCGCCAAAAGCAGATCCCAAGAAGGAGACAAAATATTTTAAAATGCAATGAAATTATCGTATTCTCCGCAAAAATTATTTTGTACATAAGCACCAACCCTTTGAATTTTTACAGAACTATTTACCTTCGCCTTCCTGTAAGCTATTTGTATCACCATACGCTTCTGGAACTAACTTAGCATAATAATGTTTTTCGCTTTTATCAAAAGCTGCAACATCAAAATAAACTGATCCACTGGCTTCATAAGCAAAACCATTCTCAATAATCTTTTGAATAAATGTAATAATTTCGGGAATATATTCGCTTACTCTTGTTACTACATTAGGTCTCAATATCTAAAAAAGGTTTAAATTCAATAACAGTCATTAACCAAAAGATTTACTGCGTAAAACAATTAATATTTCTTACTAGGATTATATTTTTTACATGATCGTTCACAAATTGTGAGTTGGTTTTCGATACACTCAGTATTTCGATCTACTATAAAAACTAACACACACAAAACTTGAACATAATTTGAATTAATCATGCTTCCTGAATACAGGAATATAAATACTTGTAGAACGAATTAAAATAGAAAATCAACTAAATAGGGGGAAACAGATATCCCACATGGTACATTAAAAATGTGATTAATCTCAAAAACAAAATACCCTTAGACAATAGTTTAGTTTTAAGGAAATATTCTTTTGTGTTTGATGTATGTCGTGTTCAATATAGAACAAGAAAATCTTTTTATTAGTTTTTTTATTATAATTATGTTTATTTACAATCTACATCATTACAGAGTATTAAGTATATAAAAAAATTATTAAAAATCCTTTATAAAAGGTATATATTTAAAAACACAATCGGGCTATGTTACACAAAACGTTTTCGGAATCCATATTCCATCATCAGTGTCCTAAAAAGTATATAACCACTTAATTAAAAAGAACATGAAGTGTTCTTAATTAATTAACAATTTATATACTTTTTAGGACACTGATGATGGAATATATATTCCGAAAAGGTTTTGTCTAACATAGCCCGATTGGATTTTTAAATATATACCTTTTATAAAGGATTTTTGATTTTTTGATTTGATTTTTGATTTTTTAAAAACATATATAATAGCGGTAAAATCCCGGAGAACTGGCTACAGTCAACATTTATTACAATCCCGAAGAAACCAAATGCCCAGATTTGTGATGACTTCCGGCTTATAAGCTTGATCAATCATGTCACTAAAGCGTTCACTAAGATCATTCACAGAAGAATATATGATAAATGTGAGTCAAATATTGATAGATCGCAGTTTGGTTTTCGGAAAGCACTTGGAACTAGAGAAGCAATTTTCGCTCTCCAAGTGCTTATACAACGGTGTAGAGACGTTGACAAAGACGTGTATCTGTACTTTGTAGATTTTAGAAAAGCATTTGACAATGTCAATCATGAACAATTGATAGGTATTCTGCGAAAGACAGGTATTGACGACAAGGACATTCGAATTGTGGCAAACCTATACTGGAGTCAAACAGCAAGAGCAAAAATTGGCAACGAATTCACTGAAAGCGTGCAGATCAAAAGAGGTGTCCGTCAGGGGTGTATATTATCCCCACTCCTATTCAATATGTATTCCGAGGAAATATTTAACAAATGTATGGAAAATGCAAATGAGGGCATTAAAATAAACGGCGAGTTAACGAACAATATAAGATACGCCGACGACACGGTGATCATTGCCAGTACCATAGACGAATTACAACAAGTAATGGAAAGACTTTATTCAGTTAGTGAGGAATACGGCCTGAGCCTCAACTTCAAGAAGACAAAGTGGATGCTGATAAGCAAAAAGCAACAACCTGCTCGACAATTACGGATAAGTAACATAATAATTGACCATGTAGAATCTTATGTGTACCTTGGCACCAACGAAAATGCAAAATGGGAACATACCATAGAAATTAAGGCGAGAATAGAACGAGCTAGAGCAGCATTAAGCAATATGAAAAAGCTCCTCATAAGCAAGGATTTGTCTCTTCCCCTAAAACTATGTATAGTTAAATGCTACATTTTTCCGATCTTGCTGTATGGCGTGGAGGCCTGGACGCTGACGGAGACGCTAACGAGAAAACTAGAAGCATTCGAAATGTGGGTGTACCGACGCATTCTTCGTATATCCTGGACCGAACATGTCACCAACATAGAGGTACTCCAAAGAATCGGAAAGGAGAAAGAAATCGTGAATACAATTAAACAAAGAAAGCTTGAATATCTAGGCCACATATTGAGACACGATAAGTACCGTCTGCTACAATTGATTGTCCAGGGAAAAATAGACAGTAAGCGAGGGCCAGGCAGGAGAAGATACTCGTGGCTCCAAAATCTGCGGAAGTGGTTCGGGCTCACATCGGTCGAACTATTCAGAAGCGCCGCAAACAAGATCAAAATTGCCATGTTAATAGCCAACGTTCGCAACGGACAGGGCACTTGAAGAAGAAGAAGAAAGGATTTTTAATAAATTTTTTATATATGGTATACAGCCAACTACAGGAACGTAGATTCCTTGTGGATATTAAGTAAATGTGTTACAGGTTTTGGGCGTAAAGAAGAGACATCCAATGATGTCTATATTTTGGTTAATTTTGAAGTAGGTCTTAGGGTCAGGTTCTATTTAGTCTTCTTGAGCCATAGTGAATGAGAAAAAGAATAGATGTAAAACTAGTGATTGTTACGGCTGTAAGGGATCTTGGAGGCGAAGTGAGTTATCTACTCCCACTTCGTAAAAACCTGTGAGAAAAACTCACTCTTGCCTAGCAATGAAGTTAGGGGTTCTAAGAATAGAACTAACTCTGCCAGCAAATCCTACTCTCACATTCTCGAAGGTATTATGCCTAGTAATCACCGTGTACATGTCATACAATGGATGTACGTCATGTAGCAGTTGAGAGGGGTGGAAGAAGAGTTCCTGGAGCAACAAAACTGGAACAGATCGGCTAAAGCAATAAACACTAATACCCTCAACCCCCAAACTCAGGTTGGAGGTTGAGGTGATGGGCTTACTCCTTACCACTCATAAAAACTTCTTCCTCTTTATAAGTAATTCTGCTTGTTTATTGGCGGATTAATACCTCTATGAAAGGTTGTCACATCTTTTGCGCGGTTTTCCGATAATTCTTCTGCCGATTGGTGACTTACCTCTTGCTATTTTGACGACACGGGTCCCGCCCATTCTGCTTATGTGGTTATTCCATTATTTTTTTCTATTTAGTGTTCATTCCTATATACACTGTATGCTACATTTCCTTCTAATGTTTTCACTTCTCTTTCGATATCTCAGCGTATTTCCTGTAATTGTTCTCAGTATTCTCATCTATTCTGTTTCCAGTAGCCTTTGTGTTGTGGTTGTGTCGGGTCTTGTTTCTTAGGCATATATCATTATTGGTCTTACACTGGCTTTATAAATTCTTAACTTCATCTCAGTATTAATGTGTCTGTTTCATCATATAGTGTTATTAAGGCATAAAAACTTAATTCTGTAAAAAAGTACCTACCTAGCAGTATGCCTCGGACACAGGATGGATCTAATAAACGGCAAACTGAGTATCACTTAGTTTGCAACAAACGACAAAGCAAAAGAAGTGGTATAATAATAGAGTCATATACAGAATAATAATAATAGTCTGCTTTTATACCTCTGAAGCAGTTTAGGAGTATATAGGAGTAGTTTGATATTTCTTGGGTCTACGGTATAAAGGAAGGTAATACGGCAAGTGCTTCACCTCAACGGACTAGATTAGCCCGGATTTTACAGAAGGTACTTATTTTATTCAGGCTGAGTCAACCTGGGTATAAATATTTCATCGAAACAAGACATTCTGTCTATTAGTCACACTTTACTGTTTAAGCTTTCCCGTCCATCGTACATGATTAATAATAATTTATGAAGTTAGCATCTATATTACAAATAACCGAAAAGGGAGACTTTAGAGGTTATGAAATATTTAAAGACGAAACCTTTACAATTCTAATCATAAGAGATACACGTTCTTTTATTTTTGATAATAGCCAAACTTCGTAACGAAAATGGTACATGAAAATGATTAACTATGACTAATAATGCTTACATTTAATGCATCAATATCTTTATAGAACTGTTGTTCCCAATGTCGCGGAAGAGAACTAAATATTGCATTATCCCGTACAGTATCTCCCTGTTTCTGATCTAACCATTCCGAAATAGGATCTTTACCATCTAAAATAAATTGTTGTTTACTATTTTCTACTTTAAGTGAATCTCCACTTTTGACTGATTCTTCTAACTCCTCTACGGAAGCTGCTAACCTAAAAAATAAAACTTTTTAAAAACTAATAACATCACGGTATTAAATTGATCGTATTTGTAGTTCTACATTGACGTACCTTGTTAACATCTTCTCTAACATATTCTTCTTGTCAAGATCTGTAGTAGTTTTAACCCTAGATTGTACATTTTGTAATACTAACTTGGCATCTGCAAGCACACTTTCCAAGGGATGATTTTCATCAACGTATTTCTTAAAAAGATAGTTTTGTCGAGCTCTCTTAATAATTTTATCATCAATATCGGTTATATTCATTACGTAGAAAATATCATATCCAAAGTAGTCTGACAATACTCTTCGTAAAATATCAAAAGTAATATACGACCTGAAAGAAAAAAATTATTTTTAAACATCAAATAAAAAGATAATAAGGTCTGTCTGTTAAGGCTGGATTTTCTAAACAGCTATGACTCATGCAGGCGCAAAGTACAAATTTACGTCTCGACCTTACAAATTTTAATTTTAGATGAATTTAGAATTTTGTTGAGCATCTCAATTTTGGGACTCCGAAAAAGATGCAAAAAAGTTTACCATTTTTACACCCCCCCCCCTTCTTCTTCTTGTAGTGCACTATCCAATCAGTGGATATTGGCGACAATTCTGGCATACTCCCCTCGATCTGGTGTGCCTCTAAAGAGTGCATGGGCATCGAAGTTTGTCCGATCCCTTATGTTTTTAAGCCATGATTATTTCTTTCTTCCGATGCCCCGTTTTCCTTCTATATTCCCTTTCATAATAAGCTTAAAGAACTGGTACTTGGAATTTCGAAACATATGACCCAGATAAGCAGTTTCTCTTCTTTTTATTATTGGCAGCAATTCTCGTTCCTTACCCATTCGATTTAATACTTCGGCATTTGTTGTGTGATCTATCCAGGGAATTTTAAGTAGTCTTCTAAATACCCACATTTCAAAGGCCTCCAATCGGTTCATCACATTGTCCTTTATGGCGCAGGTTTCTACACCATATAGCAGTATGGAGTAAATGTAACATTTTACAAAACAATATCGAAGCGTTAAGTTAAGGATGCTGTTGCTTAGCAAGGTTCTCATATTAGTAAATGTTGTTCTGGCTTGTTGAATCCTGCTACCTACCTCTATGTCTGGATCTAGATTTTCAGTTATCCAACTACCGAGATATCTGAACTTGGGGACCTTTTGGATGTTCTTATTGTTTACTCTTATATTTAATTGTATATTTCGTGTTCTACTAACCTCCATTACCTTCGTCTTGTCTATATTAATCTTCAAGCCCAGTCGTTCTCCTTCAGTGTTTATTCTATCTATTACTCGTTGTAGCGCTTCTTGGCTATTAGCTATTATGACTGTATCATCAGCACAGCGAAGATTACTAATAGTCTGTCCGTTGATTTTGATTCCATCTTCAATGTCACTTCAGGCTCTATCGAAAACCATTTCAGAGTAAAGATTAAAAAGGGGGGGTGAGAAAACACAACCCTGTCGTACACCTTTTTCGATTGAGAAATATTATGTAGATTCCAGTCCTACTTTCACAGATGCCACTTGATTCATATAAAGGTTCTTTATGATTTAGAGGTCATTCTCATCTATCGAACGTTAGTAGTTTCTGAAGTAGGACAGTTAAGCTATAAAGTGCTTCTCTTGTGCCAAATCCATGTCTAAAACCGAACTGTGTGGGGCTAATGTCTCTTTCACATCTGTTTTATATTCTTGTGTGAATTGGTATAAAGATTTATTGAAGCCAATCCTGTGGTATTTGACCGAATCCATAAATGTCATTAAAAAGATCTACCAGCGCCTCTATATTGTCTTCACTCAACATTGTTAGAACCCCTATGTATATGTCGTCTGGCCCTGGTGCTTTTCCCTGGTTAGCTTTTTTGCTCTGTTTGATTGCCCTTACAACTTCTGACTTCAATATTTTGGAGGAGGGTTCACTTTTAAATTCACTATCAGAGTTTCTTCTAGTGTTGTCTAAGTATAGTTGCTGTGAATAGTTTCTCCAATGTTGAAGTAGATCCTTGGGATCAGTAATTCATTTATTGTCCTTCACAATACTGTTAAAACTGCAAGGTTTTGTATGACCTGTCACTTCTTTAACGAGTTTATGTATGTTAAAGTGGTCATGTTTTTCTTCCAATTCCTCCATTTCTGCACACCTGTCTGCAGCCAGTGTTAGCCACTGTGGCTTTGTGACACTCTTTTCGTATTTGTCGGTTAATCTGCTGATGTTTGGTTCGGTCTTTGTTTTTAAATGATCTGCGGTCGTCCATAATTGATAATATCAGAGAACTTACGAACACAGTTCGCGTTCGTAGTTCTCTGATAATATTTCGTCAGTCATCAAATTCTTCTTTTTGTACTTTTGGGGAGCGATCAGAAACTTGGTGGTGGTTACGATAGCTTTTTTAATACAAAAAGAGGTTAATCTTTGTAAATGGGTATATTTATTTACAAAGATTAACCTCTTTTTGTTATACGTGGTATACAGCCAGCTACAGGAATTTTTCCTTGTGGATTTTTTTTTAATACGATTCCATTTGTCTTCTATACTGGCCGGTTGTTTAGATCTTGCCGTGATATCCGCTATTGCCTCATTTAATTTTTCTGTGACTTTTAGTTTAACGTTAGGTTGTTTTAAGCTGTTTATATCAATTTTCTTTATGGATTTTCTTTTAATTTTCTTAAGCTTCATTTTCAATTTTCCTACTACGTGATTGTGATCAGATCTGATATCTGTTCCAGAGTACGTTTTTACTCCTTGCAAACCATTTCTGTATCTCTGATTAATCAATAAAAAAATCAATTTGATTTCTTATGATGGCATGCGTATGTTGTGGAGACTGCCAGGTGTAGAGTCTCCGATGTGGCAGTTTGGTGGCTTTTACCCCCCGCTTCCCCTAAAACGCCCTCTCGTAGGGTGGAGGAAACGGAAAAAATCGATTGAGAATCTGTAGGCTGAAGAAAAAATGTTTCAAATAAAAAATGTAGCTGAGATCATTTTGAACAAAAATATTCATTAGCACTTTTTGTGTAGAATGAACCGTTACCTCAGAAACAACCCTTGAAGCAACCGGCGATTTTGAATGTCAGTTACGCGCGCGAAATCAATTTTAAATAAAATTTGTATCGACTAGGCGGTAAAAATTCGATATCTTTTGATCAGTGTTGATTATCGACTAAAATCAATTAGCAATTTTTAGATTTGCCGAAGGGAAAGTCAGTTTTTATAAAGGCAAAAATAAATAAATGTGCGATTTCTGCCATGTTTTATGATTTTCATGAGATCAATAAAATTTACCACTATCTTCAAGATAAGATGTAAACGCCCTTTTACTTTTTATGTTGTAAAAATTTTCTCCATTTTCTTTCAGTTAGTTTGATTCTGAAGAGATCTGTAGACGTAGACCCACGTGCCAAAGCTTGCTATTGTATTCTAAAACACGAGTGTAGGTTTGCATAGTGGGCGTGCTTGGACATGCACTTCATTTATCTTTTAGTTCCAATACTTCTCTTGGGAGAACCTGTAACTCCTAGAGAGCGCGTCCCCAGGGTGGCGGGGATGCCCGACCATGCCCGACCTGGTTTACCGGTGCGCGGTGGGTAGGAGGAAAATAAAATACCTCCCGTGGACCAACAGGTAATTCACCATATGATTGCCGGTATAAGCAATCATCCACTGACCAATGGCTTCGGGCGGACGACTTGGTAGGTGGTAGGACACTGTTTTGTCCTGCGCCTGAGAAACCGGCCCCAAAGGCGGAAGAATCAGTAGTTTGGTCAACGGTATAAGAATATAGTAGGCAACGAGAAACCACTATATTAAAGATCCCTATGTATACCTCTAGTACAATAATAATGTCTGTACAACACAACACAAACTCGCTTACTAATCATGAACATCGGAGACCAAGATCCGACAAGAGAGGTGATTCCCATGATTACAGGGCCTCCCGGGTCGTTAATATGCAAAATCCCTTTAAAATGTCCAATACCATACCTATAAGAAAAATCCACATGAATTGTTTGAAGAGAATGTCCACTTGAAACGATAGGATTGTTCCATCAGAAAAAATCCAATGCGCAATCAAAGAAATGGAACGCATGAAAATAGCAATAATGGGCACAACAGAAATGAGGTGGCCTGACTCAAGTTATTGTGACATAGAAGAATACAGAGTATACTATTCAGGATCAGAAAATGGTAAATATGAAAATAGAGTCGGAATTATCAAACATAAAAGTATAGCCAAGCTAAATGATGTTGCCGGACTCAAGTTATTGTGAGATAGCAGAATACAGAATATACTATTCAGGATCAGAAAATGGTAAATATGAAAATGGGGTAGGAATTATCACACATAAAAGTATAGCCAAGCGAAGTGATGTGGCCTGACCCAAATTATTGTGAGATAGAAGAATACAGAATATACTATTCAGGATCAGAAAATGGTAAATATGAAAATGGAGTCGGAATTATGACACATAAAAGTATATCCAAACATGTCAACAACTTCATACCAGTGAACGACAGAATCCTCTTGTTACAAATAAATACGTCACAGATGAATACTAGAACATTTTAAACATTATACAAGTCTATTATATGCACCCACAGCATACCACAGTGATGAGGAAATCAGAATGTTACAAACAAATAAGCAACCTTATAACAGATATACCGAGACCTGAACTGAATGAATAATCATGGGAGATTCCAATGCTAAAAGTCAAGAAGAATCCTAAGGATATCATGGACGGACAAGATAACCAACGAGACTGCACTACGAAGAATGGAGAAAGAAAGAGAAGTGATATATACGATTAAAAGGAGAAAGTTACAATATCTCTGACACATAATGAGAAACGGCACTAAACACAGATTACTGAAAATAATCCTTCAAGACAACGTATTCGGAAAGCGAGGAATTGGGAGAAGAATATCATGGTTAAAAAATCTGAGGAAATGGTTCTGCACAACAACAACTAATCTATTTAAAGCATTAGTTAATAAAATAATTATAGCCAGAGTGATCGCCAATATTCGAAACGAATAGGCACCAAAACAAGAAGTTCCACTACAAAACTTCCCCTTGGATTCATTTTATGTCACCCACTGTAATACCCAACTTCTGGGCAATCCCCCTCCCAGGTTTTCAATCACAAACAAATTAGTCCATCTCTTAATTTCCTAAATTTGTATAGTTTCAAGGTGTAGAATTGTGAAACATATTGATTAGTAGCTTAATTAATTAGTTTGTTCAATTTCCTTCAAACTATAGATTACCTAACATGCCTGCAATCATTTCCTCGGTTCAAATTATATTTGCCAATTTTCAAAAGT